ACTTACATACGAAAATTGCATACAAAAATATCAAAGACAAGAGAAAACATCCTCCCTACATTATTGCGTACCTCTGTGTGAAAATTCATCAAGATACAATGCGGAGATATCTTCATTCTTTATACTGTTGATTTTGCGGTTGAGCGTCAGTGGTTAGTCAGTCCACAGGGATCTCTTCATTCAAACACAAACCACTCAAACATGCAATACTGTACATTTTCGGAGAGTTGATTTTGTTCTGACTGCTATTTATAGGATGATTAGGGTTCAGGGCTGATTAGGGTGATTTCTGCATGTATGTTTTATTAACTTTATTTGATAATATAATTTATAACTGTAACTGTACAATTTAACAATGTAATTATGGTAGATTGGCATTAATTAAAAGATCAGTGTTTCCATTACCTGTGCGTTTTTATTAATATTTACCTGTTTTGTGAAAGATCTGTTGCATAAATAATTATCTGTCCATAAGCAGCGCATGAATATTTTTAAGATTTATTTTGCATTAATTATCAGATAAAACAAATCTTTAAATTAGTCATGTATTAGTTGTATCCTTTTACAGCCCGTTTTTTTATTTGTTTAATTTAAAAAATATGTTTGACGCAAAGTTAACTGTGTGTAAAATATTAAAATATGTTGTGAAAATGATAATGGAAAACTGATGTATGTGCACAATTGAGAAATGGATATTTATGAAGATCAATCGCAGCCCATGTCTCACAAAGTAAATATTACATTTTAAAAAAAAATCAATGTAATACAAACATTTTCGAGAAATAAGTCATTTGTACATTTACATAATTGGTAAGGGAAAAAGTCATTGTGTAGCTGTGTGTACACACCATGTTCAACTTTAATTTTGTAAACAGTAGGGATTAGAGTAGGCCTATTTCATTCATTCACAGGACCCAAACATGCGTAAGTTTCAAATGCACTGGCTCAGTTAACATGTATAGTATAGTAATAATAGCGGTGTAGATCTTATTTGCATTTTAAGTGATATTATAGATCCTCTAAAACATATATAGAAGGTAATATTTGGATTTCTCCGGTTCTCTGCACTGGCGTTTAGCACAACCGGAAGTATCTATGCACACACTCGCAAGACCGGAAATCCAAGATGGCGGAAATATGCAACTAGCCCATTGAATACGGACAGGAGGAGAGTTCAGCTTCACTGATACGCGCGATCGGCAAACTCGTGATTTCAAATTATGCTGCGCTTCATGTTTTTGCCCAATGTCATATTAATGTCATTTTCATTGTGTGCTGTATGTAAAATGAGTGTTACCTAGGCTTTATTTGAAAAAAATGTGATTCCCAATGCACACAAACTTCCCAGAATACTGAGTGCCCTGTTGGTTACAGTGTTTACTTCCTTTTAAATTATATTTGTATTAAATATTTGTTTATTTGTGAAAAATACTTTGTCATTTAAAGTATAAGCATGTTTATTTTACACATTTATTTTTTAATCCATTTACAAATTATTTCAAATTTCTTAAATATTAAATAAAATTATATCGGTTATCGGCCACCCTGCTTTCCAAGATATCGGCAGTCAAAAAACCAATATCAGTCGACCACTAATTAGGAGTTTGTTCATGGAAAACTCTTAATAATAGGGAATAAGATAAGATGGCGCCGCACACGGCCGCCTCAGTGCTTGGCTCTCCAGTGTTTGTACTGTTTTTGTTCGTTTTTCCTGTTTTTTGTTTCTCAAACACGATCAGTTTTACCAGGGATGAACTGCTGAACATTCGGCAGAACACACCACAAAATCTTCTACCGGATTTCGATTATTCTGACGTTTTGCTGAATGTTGTAGTTGGCGGAGCAGCGGCGCTGATCAAGCGCTTCAGGACGCGCAGATGGGGGAAGAGAGCAGGTGTGCTCATGAAGCTCAGGCAATGCGGATTTCGAACACCGTTGCCTAGCATCCATCTGGCGAATCTCCGCACTCTACCCAACAAAACGGACGAACTTCTTCTGTTCTCCAGGACAAACAATGATTTTTCAAACTCTGCTGCTCTGTGTTTCACGGAAACCTGGCTGAATGACGCCATTCCGGACAGCGCGCTACATCTGCCCGGCTTTCAGCTGTTTAGAGCAGAACGCGATGCAGAATCAATGTTGAAATAGCGGAGGGACATGTTTTTACATCAACGAAAGGTGGTGTACAGATGTTACAGCGTTAAAGAAGATGTGTTGTCCCGATCTAGAAGCTCTCTTCGTTAACTGCAAGCCGTTCAATTCGCCTCGGGAGTTTTGCTTGTTCATTCTCATGAGTGTTTACATTCCTCCGCAAGCGCACGTGAGCTCACCTTTACAGAAACTCGCTGATCAGATCACAGACACAGAACAACAACACCCAGACTCTGTTTTAATCATTCTCGGGGACTTTAATAAAGCAAATCTTTCCCGTGAACTGCCAAAATACAGACAGCATGTTACATGTCCCACCAGAGACGGTAATATATTGGATCACTGTTACACCTAGTTCATCTTATACCGACCTACAGGCAGAAACTGAAATCAGCTAAACCTGTATTAAGGACTGAAAAAGATGGACTAATGAAGCAGAGCAGGATTTACAAGCTTGTTTTGACCTCACTGATTGGAGTGTTTTGAGGCTGCTGCCACTGATCTGGGCGAGCTCACAGAGACTGTAACATCATATATCAGTTTCTGTGAAGACATGTGCATTCCTACAAGGACTCATTTAACCTACAACAATGACAAACCATGGTTCACTGCAAAATTCAGACAGCTCCGTCAGGCCAAAAAGATGCTCGCAAGAATGGGGACAGATTCTTGTATAAACAGGCCAAATACACACTGGAAAAGGAGATCAGAGTGGCAAAGAGGAATTGTACTGGAAAGCTAAAGAACCAATTATTTTCCAGTGATCCTGCTTCAGTGTGGAAAGGTCTGAAAGACATCACCAATTACAAGACACCATCCCCCAGCACTGTGGAGAATCAACAACTGGCAGACGATCTGAACGAGTTTTATTGCAGGTTTGAAAAAACACCATTCACACCTCCTGCAACCCCCCTCCAGCACTCCAGATCAGTGAAGATGATGTGCGTTAGGTCTTCAGAAAGAACAAGAGAAGAAAAGCACCAGGCCCAGATGGTGTGACAGTCAACTAGACAGACCAGGGACTTATGTGAGGATCCTGTTTGTGGACTTCAGCTCGGCGTTTAACACTATCAATCCAAACCTCCTCCTGCCCAAATTAACTCCGCTCTCCGTGCCCTCCGCCATCTGTAAGTGGATCACCAGCTTCCTGACAGACAGGCAGCAGCTAGTGAGGCTGGGAAAATTATTATCCAGCACCTGTACGATCAGCACTGGCGCCCCCCAGGGTTGCGTCCTCTCCCCATTGATCTTCTCTCAGGGTCTGAAGTGGGACAATCACATTGAGTCCATTGTGAAAAAGGCCCAGCAGAGGTTGTACTTCCTTTGCCAGCTGAGGAAGTTCAACCTGCCACAAGAGCTGCTGAAACAGTTCTACTCTGCCATAATTGAATCCGTCCTCTGCACTTCTATAACTGTCTGGTACAACCCTCCCTTCTCTCCAAGAACTGTACTCATCCAGAGTGAGCAAAAGGGCTAGCAAAATCACTTTGGACCCCTCACATCCAGCACACTTCCTCTTTGAACTGTTGCAATCTGGTCGATGCTACAGAGCACTGAGCACCAGAACGACCAGACACAGGAACAGTTTCTTTCCTCAGGCAATCCATCTCATGAACACTTAACAATAATCGTGGAACACACAACACTAGTATACATTATTTATTTAACACACATACTTATTTACATTTCAAATTTGCGCACATCATACCTGTACATACAAAATTGTTTATATTATATATTGTGTTTTTGCTTTTTTGTACATTGTCTATTTTGTATATTTTTATATAATTATTTTTATTATCTGTGTCCTATCTTGTCACTGTCATTCTGTTGCACTGTGGAGCTTCTGTCACTAAAACAAATTCCTCGTATGTGTAAACATACCTGGCAATAAAGCTCATTCTGATTCTGATTCTGATATGTGTTCCCTATTCTGAAGTGTTACCAGTTTTTTTTTTTAATTCTTACAAATTATTTTAGCTTGATTACTTCGTATAGTTTCTTCTACAAGATTCAGTTTTTCATTTAATTAATTAAAAATATTTTTCATCTGATGTTTCCACTTTTCTTACATACTTGTTCTTCATGTTATTTGTAAAACTTAGGAATGAAAACAACTTTTGACAAACAGGATGTAGTTGGAGGTGAAAAGGACAGTGCAGTTCAATAATGTGGTGCTTTACTCTCTTTCTTTCTCTCTCTCGCTCTTAAAGAGGCTGTTGAGAGATGTAATGTTACATGATCGATGGTAAGCGGAGCAATCACGACTTATTCCTGCAAAAAATCCCGAGCCTGACACTCATTCATAAACACACTCACATGTGTGACTTTAACAACTCACTTAAAGAAAAAAAAAGAGCAGAGAGTGAGAAACTTTCAGGGAGAGAGATGGAGAAAGATGGGGAGAGAAAAAGGGGAAGGGAACCGGACTGACAGATGAGGTGAGTGAGAAAGGAAAAGAAAGAGGGAGCACAGACAGAACCTCCAGAAAATAAACAGGGTGTCTTGTTTCAAAGGCGAGGGGGACACACAAGCATTCCATTGTTCAAGTCAATTATCAGAGGCAAATAATAACTGCAGATGGATCCAGCAAGGCCATAAAACGAGTGAGTGAGAAGTGGAGAGCTGCAGAACAGATGATGAAATGTAAGAGAGGAGGAGGAGGAGAAGGAGGGGTCAGAATACCCAGTCCTAAAGCCTCACACAACAGATGTAGACTTACAGGGACGGTGCACAAACACAAACTTTCACCACGACCTTGCCGCACAAGCACAAGATGATTTAAAGATAAAAAAATATTCTATTTTATTATGTTTTTTATTGTGTTTTTTTCTATTTTTGTTTCACAGACAACAGCAGAGAGAGGCCAAGAATGGAATCGGGATATGATCAGAATTCAAACCTGCATTTCTCCCACACTGTAAGCACCAATAAACACTAACACCAATAAACAAAATGCCCCACAAACATCATCATGAGATGATGACTTCAAGCTATAATTGTCAAGTCCAAAAACAACAACAACATATTATTATTATTATTATTAATAATAATAATAATAATAATAATAATAATTATATTCAATTAAATTAATACATTATAATATTTTATATTTAAATATTTATATTACATTACATTATGATTAGCACCAGACACTTCGATTCAAAACAACAAATAATAATAATAATAATAATAATAATTATTATTATTATTATTATGTATTAGTGTTTAAAAATACTATTATTATATTTTAAATATTTATATTACATTACATTATGATTAGCACCAGACACTTCGATTCAAAACAACAGATAATAATAATAATAATAATAATTATTATTATTATTATTATGTATTAGTGTTTAAAAATACTATTATTATTATCACAAGACACATTTAGCTTCACACAAGAACAATATATTATATCAAATATAATAACTATATTAACAATTCATAATTAACAACAGTAATAACAATTTTATATTTTTAGTATTATAGTTATAAAAGTATTATTATTATTATGTAGGAATGCAATTGGGACTCCATTAGAAACAAGGCTAAATATAAACTGTATGCACTAACTAGTAGGCCACAGCTCCAGTTTGAAAGAATAGTTATTCGAATTACACTAATTGTAATTTGCTTATTACACAAAAGCTGCTCATGAGATTTGAGTTATTTTGTTTTTGAAATTGAAATTGCATTATTGTATTGCATCAAAAAGTTGTTTCTGCTTTGAGCTACTGAGTAAAGGCTATGTGTTATGTTGAGAGCATTTCTGTGTTTTGTTTTTTGGGGTGTATTTTATTAGCAGCAGAGCTACAGGGAAGAGCATCTGAAGCGAGAGGAAGCGGCAACTCAATATGCTGAAGGATGTGTCATATCGCTGCTCAACTGACAGCCCAAGTGTGTGCATACAGGGAGGGGGGGCCTTTTTCAGCCTAAAACAAAACGCATCCTCAATGTGCCCCTGTCAAGGGTGGGAGATGTCTTCAGATAGTGGCACAAAAGATCAACCGTTCCTTTTCAGCCGAGAGAAAAGAAAGAAAGTTTTCGTTTCATTAACTCAAGACTAAAGCGTAATTATCTCCCTATGGGCCGCAATCACCAAAAGAAGGATAATAGAACTGAAAGCACTTTTCACTCCACTCATCTAAGCGGCTCTTTTCTTCTCTCTCTTTTTTTTCACTTGTTTTTTTCTTCTCCGCCCTCAGATGAGATTAACCAATCGAATAATGGCAACAGATTGTGGGGGTAAGAGGAAAATACAACTTTCCGAATGGTGTCTGTTTGAGAGCTTTAAAGATTCGCCGTTATCTGGCTTAGCGTTCTTCTACTCCTTTCCTTTCGTCTGCCATCTCTTCTCCTCTTTATATCTTTCTCTCTCTCGCTGCCTTTGGAACGGGGTGGAGGAAAAACAGGGTGAGGAAGGTTAGCCGCTAAGTCGCCCTGGTTCTGACTAAAATGAGCAATTTCACAAATTTGAGATTTAGATAAAACGCAAACATTTTATAAGTATACTTTTATAAATATATTTAGAAGTATATATTTTTCTCAATTACTAACAAGCTGCTACTTAAAGGTGCTTGCAGCACTAACCCTAAGATAAGTCCCGCAAGGATTTGCAGCTAGAAACATAGAGCAGGCCCTGGATTTAACTAGCTTATGAAAATAATTGCCATTAGCACAACTTGGAAACGGTTTGGAGCACCACGCTATGACAGGAAGAGAAAAACCTCTCACTTCTGGAATGGAGAAGACAAAGAAATAGTGCGGAAAAAAAAGAAATTGGCAGGCCAAGCGACTGTTTTGTGCACTGACACAGAGGTTGAGTTAATTAGACTATTGTCATTTTAATCAGGACAGCTTCTCGGTCAGTCTTCCCTCAAAGAGCAAGCGTGCGCACGTCAACGCCATGCTCAGGGCCTCTGCGTGCGTGCCGGTTCTATGGATTCACTTCGCTAATGAGCAACACTACAGAAACAAAGCCCCCGAAGGACCACCGGGGGAAACTCCTCACCCTTGCTCACTTCTCTGTTCATTTGAAAATAATTTAAATATCAAATATTTGAAATAATTTGCTTCTCCCTGGCTATCTGATATTGAATGGCAAAGTCTTTCATGTTGCCTTTATTATGTTCATAAACCAACATTAAAATTCTGAACTATCATTACAAGTGACTATATTTATTACAGCAACTATCATTTCGGTCCAAACCATGGATTGTTTTCAGATAAATATGAATATTAAATTATGCTAAGACATTGTTATGCAAAATTAAAGTAATGGAAAAACATATGTTGCATAGACTAACTGATCATATACATTGTTACAGTGTACAATAACTTATAATCCCACTGAATTCTGATTTGGTTATGGTGCACATAGTAAGTAAACAGTAAATGTGAACAACAAGGCAAAACCTTCAAAAAGGCTGAACATCCTATATCACACGTTGCCAAAAACAGCTAGATCTCAGAATAACTCAGACATTAACTTTGCATTGCTTTAGGCTGACTGCTTGCTTTGAATACTCTTCACCAGGACATTATCGGTTTTGTTTATCTCCACTATGTATCATAAGGGTGACATGATGTCATCTAACGTTTATATGTAAAGAAAATTTAGTTGGCAACTCTCTTTGTTTCCATTATGCATAAATTAAGCTTCCAAATGATTTGTGCCTGCAGTCATGTCAAAAACATAAATCATATGATGGAAATAAAGGAGCCAATGTTACGAAATTTGTACATTTCAACATATACCTGTCAAAACTGTAAACAAATTGCAAAAGTCTAATTTGGTCACATCATACTACTCTCTAACTTAGTAACACCTAGTTGCTATAAACTGCTAAAACACACATTTATGAAATCATTACTCATCTCCCCTTGAGTTGCAGACTCCTTACTTCATTTAGGCCTTATTCTGTCCAACATATTGCACAATTTATTTAATTTGCATGTAGCTGGAAAAATAATTATCTCATTTATTTCTTAAACTCGAGATGAAAAACAGACTAATGGCTTTATCTTAATTTGGAATTTTCTTACCATTTATCATCTTATAGATAGTTCATAGTTTTATCACTCATCATAAATATTTCAGGCAGTGTTAATATTAATTTGATCAGATATTAATTGTATCCAAAATGCGAGTAAAAATCAATTATTCAACAAAAGTGATGATCTTTGGAGATGATGGGAGATTTTTAAAGCAGCTTTAAATAACCAATCCAGATCCACGCCTTTCCTCGTTATTGGTTTATTAGGTTTACAAAAACAGCATGCTTAAGTCATAAATTATACAGTAACCACCATGGAAACTATTGTAAAACCAATTAATATACACTAAGGTCACATGATCAGCACAATCAAATGTGATTTGTTGACTCGCTGTGAAACACTGCACCTCTGTTGGGGATTATCATGGTTCACATGAATAAATTAGACCCTAATTTGAATGGCAGTCTCCTCCCCACTGGACACTGTCTTTAGGGTAGATTAATCTTCTTCTACAGTCGGTAACAGGCTAAATCACTATGATTATTGCTCATTGTGTGGGTTGGGGATGTTCTAAACCCCTAAATCTACATACTGAACTTCAATGCATAACTCTGTTCTAACCTGACCGATGTGCTATGGCTATGTATGATACATACGCTCAAATCATGATGCTACTGCGTATCAAATCGATCAAACTCACAATTCCCCGATTGTAGACAATACAACTGATTTTAAAAAGTAAATAATCAGCAACTGAGCAACCACCCAGAACACCTTAGCAACCATTTAACAATAGTGAGGGTTTTGCTCACAGGGACATAAGTAACATTTTCTTCAGAAAGTTAATTTTTATTTTTTATATTAATTAATTTTATTAATTATAATTTTTTGTTTTCAAGCGTGTAGCCCTGAAACCCTATTGTAATTGTTAAAATGGCTAAGGATCAGCAATATCCATGTAAAACTGATCGGGCAGACCAAACCGTAAGTTCGAAGTGACTTGAAACTTGGAGGGATAGTAGTACTCACACCTTCTACAACATCACCAAGGCACGGGGGCGCTACAGCAATCAAAAGTATAAAATTGCTCATAACTCCTAAACTGTTAGTTGCAGGCTCAGTGCCTTATATCGTTGGAATCCTTGGCTCACAACAGACAAAACGCATGCCTCGGATTCGATTGTCACCCTGGTGAAATTTTTGGGAATTTAGATTTATTTTTTTTTAAACCTACTTTTGCGAATTAGTCCTAGGTTTTTCACTCAATCGGAACCAAACCAGTGCAGAAAGATTTTCTGGAGAGTAAGTATCAATAATTATATAAAAAAAAATTTAACTTTTGACTCACCGTCCCAAAAGGATGCCAAAACGTTTGAAAGGGGCAGGGCCACATTTACTAAAACTGCTACGAGATATCTTTGCCAAACTCAGAACACTTATGTAAGAGCTCAATCTGAGGTCGTGAAAAAAATCGTGGAGCTTGGCCACTTGGTGGTGCTATAAGAGGGGAAAAAATATAAAAACAGCTATAACTACGCAACCATTTGTCCGATCAACATGAAAATTGGTATGCTGTGTCTTTGTCCAAAGTGCCACAAGTGTCTATAAGGACATTTATGTATCTCCAAAAACATGCCCGCCATTGGCCAATGAAGTTTGAGCAACTATCAGACAAGATTAATGAAAGTTGATTGGAATTAAACTCAGTGCCTGTTTGACTAATTCTACCAAAATGTGTTTTTATATATATATATATATAAAACATAACTGAGTCCAAATAAACTATTAACTGAAATAATTTGTGTAGTGTATTTAATTTAATTTTTTTTAAAAATGCTTACTCTTGGTTGTCTGTGACTTATTTACATGTCCCTTATTTTACACCATTTATATTTAAAAAAAATGTTTTCATTT